GCACATACATTCTGGGCTCAAGAAAAATACAGTAAGTGATCAACTACTACTTGGTCACTTCTGTTGACAATGTAGTAGTAACTTCATTTTCGTTTATCGTTTAAACATTTTCAGAAATAACGATAGATGAGTCTAAATCCCGTTTATTTTCGTGTATTGGCCGAAAAATTGAGTAAGCCTAAAAGTTGAATAAAATTTTTAAACGCTTTTCAATTTGTCAAACAGAAATTCTTATATTTAAGGAGAAGTTTCATGAAGTGAGGATGATTCTCATAGAACAACAGACAATAAAAGATTGCGCGCAATACAAACCTTGATTAGCATAAGCGGGATCTTCATGTTTTCTACTTTCATAATGGGGTATCGTGGAAGAATTAAAGAACTGTAATCACCGCTGATAAAGATATCCTGTTTTCAATCATAAAAGACAACTGGTCCCTACAGTGATAATTATGGGGACCAGTTCTCGCTCGTTGGTACCACTAACCTTTTGCCGAGCTATGGTTTTTCAAAAAATAGGAGATGATGCAAGTCATAAACAACGAGTACCCGTAGTGATCATCAATGAACATCAAAATGGCCGGCTTACACTTATTTGTAAGCTTTAACCTGCTACAATACTTGTCATCCCGACTTCTCCTCAGGATAACAACCTACATGATTTTTTATGGACTTCTTATAGTACAGAACAAACTAAAGCCACTATTTATCGCAGAAAACTACAATCTTTTTTAGAACACACCGGACAAATAATCTATTCTGTACCGTTCAGTGCTACAGTAATCTATGCTTCCGGAGAGTCTTAACTTGGGCCTCGCCTCCTGGTAAAAAAGAGGTACTGTTGCTATTATAATTATTGAACTCAAAACGTACATAGTGTAGTTGCACACTAAACACCAAACAAGAAAAACGAATATTATTGCCCATAAAAAGATGGAGAAATGGAATCCGAAATAATGTTTCTGGATGTGGTGTTTGCCACACAATCACACTAAAAATGCAGATAGTCTATGCACTACATGCTAAGCAAATGTTTAGGTGTTCAGGCTCATACAAATTCCCATTTGTTTTCACTCTACCAATCACTTGCGCACCTAGTTTTGAAGGTAAAATTCAAATTACTGTAGAAAGGTTTTGGAAGACTGACTTAGGTACATAAGGCTATGT